GAAGAGGAAGAGGAAGAGGAAGAGGAAGAGGAAGAAGAAGAAGATGTCTTAGTTACTTTTCTTGTCACTAAGACAAAATACCTAACACCCAGAGTTAAAAGAGAAAATGTTTACTTAGCTAACAGTTTCTAGAGGTTTCAGTCTATAATCAATGGCTTCAAGGAGTTTGGCATGTCATAGGGGCCACCACTTATGTCAGTGGAAGACAGAAAAAGCGACAAGAGACCATCCCTTGTATTGTATGCAGGTTACCCGCCCTAGGGCAGGTGTAGCACTCACACCCTTAATCCCAGCATTGGACCATGAATCATTCACAAACTCTAGATTCAGCTGCTTCTGAAAAACTTGCCCCACCCCCATGACTGCACGAGGCTTTGAGGGGACGTCCAGACACAAATCATAACAGAAAGTATTGGGAAACTCTGAGAGAGACTGGCCTCACCAATGAGAAGGAAATACCAAAGGACTTTTTGAGTGCTTCAAACATTGCATAGGGCTCTATACTGTGGGAGAGTATACATGGCCTCTACGTTGACTGTTCACTGTCCCTTCCTAGCCCACCCTTACTCTTCCCATTAGAATAGTGTTTCCCAGTCATTTCCATTACTAGTATCAGTTAAATAGTTGTTTATCTGCATACTTGATTGAGGCTATGGAAAGGAAGAAGCAGTGTGACTGAAAGTCAAAGTGAAAGCAGAGATAGAAAAGCGTGTATGTGTCATCCAACCCATGCCATGAGAGACTGAATGGTGGACAGACGCAGGCCTACAACCCTAGGAACAGGGAATTGCTGGCTGCCCCAGATAATGGAATTGTCTTGCCCGAGGATAGACTTGGAAGGGTAGAATTCCCTTCTTAGAGGCTCTTGTCTGTCAGGAAAGTGTGGCCACAAGAGGTCTATTTGGGACTGCCCCAACTGTCCCCTCAAAACCCCAGCAGTACTTCCTAGCAGCCTTCTTATACCTAAACTCCTTAAACTGGATTTCCCTCCCTCACATCTCAACAAGTCTACTATAAGAAGACCACTTAGAATCAGTTCTGTCCACCTTGACAAAAGGTTTTGAACTGATAAAGATATTCGAACCATCTGGCAGCACAAGATACGACCTTCTGGGGCAGAGCAGTGCAAATCAGCAAAGGATATGCAGGATCATCAAAACATTCAGTAAATGCTTAACAATTTTTTAAATTATTACAGTAAAAGACACATTGTCATAATTCCCTTAAAAATACTCTCCTTTGCCTTAAATACACTTGTCCCACCATTTGTGCCACTTTCTAAAGCAATTTTGGAAGTCTTTTTACAAGAGTGTCTTCAGGAGTTGTGACCAAAACTACAGCAAATACTGCTGCTGAGTTGGATGCAGCAGAAAATCAGGCTTGTCAAAATATTAGTGTGTCTTCGTCCACCTTCTTCACCACATCCAGCATCCTAAGACTTCTGGCTCTTCCCCAAAGTCACAATGACCATGAAAGGTTTATATCTGGAGCTCATGCACTCATAGGTGTGGCTTTAGGGAGGTGATTGGATCACAGGTCTTAAGACACTGCATTAGTCCACTGATACATTTATAGCTAAATGTGATATTGAGAGGTAAATTCTGGTGGGAGGAGGCAGGTCACTGGGGATGTGGCCTGGATGGTTCCAGCTGCACTTCTCCTCCTCCCTTGATCTCTCGCTCTGCTTCCTACCTGCCATGCCATGAGTACTTCTCTGTCACACCACCCTTCCTTGAAGCCAGCCAACCATGGGCTGGAAATGCTACAAAAATGTGAGCCAAAATAAACCTTTCCTGCTTTAAATTTTTGGTGTCAGGTATTACATCTTAGCAACAACAAAAAATAATAATAACAAAGACAAAACGTGTACATTTTCAGTCAATTTAAGCCATCAAGGCAGCCATGACAGAGCAACTGAAGACACAAGAGAGAACTTCCACAACTGCTTCAGAAAGGGGCAAGAACAATGCGACCAGTGTGTTCAAAGTGAGGGGAAGTATTTTTCAGATTAATGGCAATGGGTCTTTCACTGTAAGAGATTTTTAAACATGTTTTTGATATTCACCATATTTTCAATCATATCTCATTGTTGTACTCATATTCAACAAGAATTGGGGTGCACTGGGAGAAATGCCAGTAACCCTGGGGCCCTCTCCTCTCTTTTCCCCTTTCCTGTGTTTCATTGCTGCCCCAGAATCTGATCACATAGCCCTTAGAGGGAAGCATTTCTTTCACTGATTAGCTGTAGTCAAGTGGATCTTCCTAGGGCTACAAGAGGCAATCTACTGCTTTCATTAAATGTCAGTTTGATTAGTTTCACTATGAGGCTAACACTGTTGTCTCTAGCTGCAGATTTGTGAAGGGAGTTCTCCCCATACATTGCTAAAGAACTTCCCCTCTACTTCTGCTGTGTGGTTCTGGGCAAGTAACTTCACCTCTCTTTCATTTGTGAAAGGGAAATACAGAGCATAGTATTAGAAAGCTATAGTGAAAATGGCATGAAATAAT